GCGAAACCACGCAAGTGCATTTTTTGGTGATTTTTGGAGACATATACCGTTGGAAAGAGGAAATCATGCTCTTTCAGAATATATAGATATCTCGATTTTTTCGAAAAATGCACTTGCGTGGTTTCGCCAGTGGCTGAGCGCTGTGCGTGGTTTCGCCAGTGGCTGAGCGCTGTGCGTGGTTTCGCCAGCGGCGCTGCGCTTTGCGTGGTTTCGCCAGCGGCGCTCCGTCGTGCGTGCTTTCGCCAGCGGCTGAGCTTCGTGCGTGCTTTGCGTTAGGGGCGAGCGATATTATCTCTTCTTTCATTGACAGGCGCCAAAAAGGAATTTGCCCAAGAAAGTATTAAAGAAGATAGAAATTGCAAAAGAAAAAGAAGCAAAAAGAGAAGCACTTAGGAACCATCTGCTTAAACAAGAGAAGGAAGCTCTTGCAGCCAAAGCACAAAGGGTTCATCCAAAAGCAGAAAGCAAGACTGACAACAATGGTGTGTCTGAAGTAGCCCATCAAATTCTACGACAGATTCAGAACAGAAAAGATGAACCAGACACTATCTCCCTTTTCATGAATGCAATGGCATTGAGAATTAGTGCTCTACCTGCCAAATTAAGCAGAAGGTTGATGCTCAACCTTAATGAGATTGTTGTTGAAGCTGAAGAGAGCAGAGCAAGTTCAAATTTGCTTGAGTTAATTTAAGAGTACAATATGGTCTTAAAATTTTAATTTTTGAAAACTTTCCTAGTGAAAAGTTAGCCTTAAATCTTTGGGAATTTTTTCACCATCTAACTGCATGGGTATTTCTTTTTTAGGAGGCCTGACAACAAAGATAAAAATAATGATAAGTTAGAAATAATAAATAATGGTGAATGAATTTGGACTTAAGATAAGCAAGCATGATCTAGACACTTTGCTCCCTTCTCAAATGCTAAATGACCAGGTAAAATTTCATTCTTGTGTCGGATAACTTCAGTACTGACTATGGGTTGTGGGCCTCTTATAGCTGAGATGTTTTCTAATATTGATCTAGCGCATATTGTTGCATTTTTACTTTCAGATAATGAACTTTTACGTTCAACTTTTGGCTGAACCATCAAAGAACGTTTACATTTTTAATACCTTCTTCATGGTTCAACTCCTTTCTGAAATATATCAGTATGAAGATATTAAGGGGTGGACAAAGAATGTAATGTTACATATATACACACGTTATCATCTTTTTCTACAAAATGTATTCAATATGTCTCAAATAACTGACATTGTTAATTGCTTTGTTGTATAGGTTGATATCTTCTACTTCCCACTTGTGCTGATACCAATATATAAATCGACTCATTGGACAATGGCTGTTATTAACAATGATTTGAAACAATTGATGTTCTACAACAGCTTAAGCCGAGATTTATATGTTGATTGTTTTGAAGTAAGTACAACATCTGAGTGATGAGACTCTGGACTGATAGATTGATCACCTGATTTAGCATATGTACTGATTATTTTGTTTACAACCGCTAGGCCCCCTGGAGAAAAAATTAAGAGGCAAAGTGGCATTTAAGGGGCAAGTAAGTGGCACCAAAGTGTCAAAGAGCCCAGGTGGCATTTAAGTGTCTTACAAATGGCAATGAAGGTTCCATTTTTGAAGTGGCACTGAGGATACTTTAGAGTGGTTCCCAAGGAGTAATGAAGCGGTGAATATTAAGTGGCACTAGAGTGGCACCTAAGTGCCCACCAAGGGGTGAAGAAGTGTACATTTAAAGCTCATTTTAAGTGGCATTAAAGTGACACTTGAGTAGAAAGTTAGCTCTCACTGATGAATCACCATGCTAACAGAGCCATAGTCTGGACGCTATGCCGAGGCAATTGCCTGCTTCGGAGGCGAAGAGTGTACACACTTGTCATTTTTGTAAAGTAAGGTTTACGAGCCCCTGCTGGGGACTTGTGGAACTTACACAACCGCAGTCTCTGCATAGTGTACAATTTCAACAGCTTTGCCAGCCACTTCAGATCCTGAATGCCACTTCGTAACCACTTGCTTACCACTTGCTTACCACTTCAATGTACTTTAAAGCGACACAATCCACTAAACTGCCACTTAACTAAGTGGCAGCTAAGGGGCAGAGCTGCCACTTATTTGCCCCTTAATTGCCTCTCTGCCCCTTAATTTTTTTTCCAGGGCCCTGAAAAAGTACCTGAAAGAAGAGCATCAAGAGCGGAAGGGGGTGGAGCTAGACTTCGAGCAGTGGAATGTTATGGGTGACTTCATTGATGTAAGCGTGCAGAGCACAGACAGGCTGAAAAGTCTCATACTGAGGTTGCAGTCCATTAATGTCCTTTGTGTTTACAGGGTCCTATGCAGAAAAATTGGTATGAGTGTGGAGTGTTTGTTTTGGAGGTGGCACGGCGACTGTGCCTTGAACAGTCCTTGGAGTTCACCCAAGAAGACATTCCTAGAATCAGGCGCCGTATTCGAACACAAATTCTTAACTGTCTTCTTATGGATTAGGTGAATTTGGGGATTTATATCTGTTTCCTAGTTTTATGAAGGCAATATATGTCTTTTTGGTCTCAATTACTTATTGGATTGTAAAATATTTCCCTTGGCAACTGTCTACTGATGGATTAGCTGAATTCTTCTTTCTCTTTCTTGTGTAATATGGGGATTTATGTTGATAGTTTCTTAGTTTATGCATATATGCGATGCATATATGTGGTATGTCTGTCTGGTCTCAATTACCTGTTGGATTTTATTTATAATTATTTCTTTTGACAACTGTCTACTGATATATTTATGTTTTCTTGTGTCATGCTATGCATATTTGATATTTGACGGGTAATAAATTTACACCAACAAACTGATTCTTATTAAGTTTTCTATTGGCTTTGGTGCTATAAGACTATCATACCAAGAATGCGCGTACAGAAAGGTTAATCTTGTTAACCGAATAGTAGAAACTAGGACATAGAAAACTAGAACATAGAATGTTAATGGAGTTTGTGCAGTACAAACTGCATAGTAGTAAATCAAGCCTGTGAATTAAAGCAGTAATCTAATCAAATTTTAGTCCTTGATAAACTTGCAGCAGTTTCTTAAATGAAACATAAGTTCAACCATTTGTGTACAAGTAGACATTAAATGTAGGAGTTTGGCAAAATAGAAATGTGAGATAACTTAATACATTTAAAAATATAACAAGGTACGAATATTCAAAAAGTAGTCCTCATACTTACAATAATTTATTAAATGAAACACTAACTAATTTATTTTGTAAAACAAGACATTACATACATAGGAGTTTGGCATATTGAACATTTTGAGATAGCTTAAGGGAGAGTGGGGCACATAGTGTCACTTTTTGGAAAGTCTTCTCTCACAGTCCTATTTTAGGCAGCATTACGGGTTTTGGGGTTGGTGAGCCTCTATTCGACCTTCAGTCACACGAAATCATTGAGACCCGCGCAAAAATATTCGTGTCTTCTCTCAAATCATCTCGAGAAGGAACCTCGGTAATTGACAGTATGTGCCCCGGGGGTGGGGCACTAGGTGTCACCATGTCTCTATCGCTATATAACTCATGGGGGAAGTGGTTTCTCGAAACGGTCCTTATGGTATCTCGGAAAGGATGTGCCAATGGAAGCATTTGACCCCCAAAAATAAAAATTACTCTCCAACATTTTCTGCTACAGCGGATCATAAAAAGAGTGACACTACCTGCCCCAATTTGGGGGAACTACTGTCAATAAATCTTTAGATGTACGCTGCTGCTACACCACTGAAAATTTCGCCACTCCCATTTTGCAATCAAATAAAGATGTAAAGAGGTTGCGGTTGCGATTTCACCAATTAGAAGACTTAAAAAGTGAAGGGGCTGCTATTGCCAGCTCATTGACAGTATGTGCCCCTGACAGCTGGTGCCCCACTCTCCCTTAATACTTTTAAAAAAAAACAACATGAGGTTTTTCAATGCTAGAACAGTAATTACATTTTGCGCCATTGCCATGGAACAGGGTTTCGTACAAAGTACTCTAGGAACTTCTCCATTACCTCGTTGGAAGAAAAGTGGGAGCTGGTACATTTTCTTGAAGCCTGCCTTTTCAGATTTCGGAATATGGTGAATTCCATTTTGCGGCATTCTTGGCGCCAGCGACCAAACACATACGTACCGTCATCTCTCACATAGTCATCATACCCGCATGGCTTGTACTTCCAGCTTCTTGGTGGAATTGAGTCCTCGTCCATGAGATGAAAATTGTGAAGTGAAAGGCAACATGTTACAATAGACTTGGCCAGGGTTTGTGATGCTATGATCGAGGTACGTAAGATCCTATACCTAGCACACAACACACCAAAAGCGTTTTCAACTACTCGGCGAGCCCTGCTCAGCCGATAGTTGAATAAATTTTCTTCTTTTGGCAGGAATCTTCCAGGAAATGGTGTTAAGATGCCTTCTATTCCTTGGAAGGCGGCATCGCCTATAAACACATACGGCAGGTCTCCTGTCACACCATTTGCAGGACCTGGAGGTGGGGCAGATATCTTGTTCGCTTTCAGCTTCTTTCCTAAAGCGCCATGGTTGAAGACGTTGGCGTCGCCTCGACGTCGACGTCCGCTTCCTCCGAAGTCAATGTCGACGAACCGTAGTTTAGCATCTGCTACTGCCATCAATATCAAACTGTGGAAGCCCTTGTAGCAGTAAAAACGGGAACCACAATGAGGGAAAGCCTGCAAGTAATTTACACTCTCAATAATAATCATAATGATAAAAATAATCATTAATAATAGCAGCAACAACAACAAGCTGCCTTGCAAAATGGAAGGGAAAGCCCACCTGTACTGCAACATGTTTTCCGTCAATGGCACCCATGCAATGTGGAATGTTCCACATTGTCTCGAATTCGGAGGCAACTTTGAGCCAGAGATCAGTGGTCAAAGCTGGGAAAACTGTCTTCTTCAGCTCTCGCCAGATGATAGTTGTTGTTTCGAACACAATTTTCCCAATGCACTGGGTCGACACCCGAAACAAGTACATCAAAGAGACGTGTGAATCCCCAGAAGCAAGATATCTAGGAATTCAAAGAAGACAACAGGTGTAATTAAAATTTTCATATGGGATTTACATCTTATGTCAGATATAAGGTGCCCCACCCACAATGTGCGTCCCCCGAGTTGACACGCGAGGAAACGCGGGGCTTCAAACATTACCCAGCTGAGTTGTTGCTACAACCAGACAAAGCCACAGGCAGATTAATACCCGGAAACCGACTATAGGTTGTTTTCGGCCCCAGAAGCCCCTTGGGATCCCCGACCTCTGCGGGGCTGCGCCTATGCAGCCTATGCTCTGCGTGGGGCGCCTGACGAGCGGACCGTCCCGTTGGACGTGGGAGCCCCGCGGCGTTGCCTACGCCACTTCCGCAGGCGCCTTTGCTGGCGGCTGAAGAGCTCGGGGAGCCCAAGGACTTCTCACCACAGCTGCTTGGCGGGAAGTGGCGCTGTTGATCGCGTTGGATCGTGAGCTCGTGAGACGTTCATTGTGGAGACACACAATTGGAAAGGGTGTGTACAAACCTCAAAGTAATAGCCAGTCTTTCCCCTGGACCAATACATTCCCTTTTGGAAAACTTTTGAAGATGAGGAGATACCAGAGCGAACAGACGGTCGAAGGCTGCTGGTGTCATCCTCAGAAAGTTAAAAAAACTTGTCTTCGTCGGTGGCTCTGAGGGTCGGGATCAAGCTGAACCATGCCCCAAACAGGTCATGGTCCTCCAACATAGGGCATACCCAATATTTTCGGACCACGTTTGGTTTTGAGACTTTACCAGTCTGCTTATTGTGCAGCAACACACAGGATAGGCATGTCAGAGCTTTTCTGTAAGTTGTAGCATGACGCCTCAAAGGTCCTGCATAACATTAAAAACAAAACCAAAAAACAGTTAACTAACTCAAGCCAAACCTGAGGTATGACATGTCATATTTCCCAATATTGCTCTGTGAATTTAACAACTTACTTGGTGCAATAGCTTTGCGTCGAGTGCTGTGCTTCCGTCCTTTCAAGGCAGCAAATCCCAACACCAAAGCCGTTACCACAAAGTTGGAAACCTTCATGGTGTGTTGACTTTTCAGGACCTGAAATATGGAGGAAGATATGAGAGAATGCTCCAGACTCCAGCTAGACGGTAATTTACAGGCATTTGACTGTAATAAATTTTACAGAATTTCACTTTGGACCCTATAGAACATTTCTAAATACGGGTCAAATAAGAACGCGACACTGGTCTCAAACTTGTATCATCTACTTTCATAATCAATTCCTTGGCGGAAACTGAAATTTTGCTCATCGTCCATTAATATATTTTCCCGATCTTTATGCTATGGTTAACTTTTGAACGGCAAGCAATCTAAATATAATACGACAACTGACGAATGTAAAAACCATCCGAGGTTCTTAAAAGAAATTGACAATTGTAAATGTTTATAAAAAGCTTTACTAACGTATTTAATAAAGACAGTGCTATCAAAATGTTTCATTTTTACTGGTTTGTGGAGCTAACTTTAAAATTTTGTTTGTTGAGACGTCCAAACTGAGAAGTCACAGTAATGATGTCCCTCGCGCAATGCTCGGACGCTTCTGCCGTCCCAAATTCGTCCGCGCTGTACGGAACTCGGACACCACACCGTCCTAAAACCGTCTCAGAGTCCGGAGTCCGTCCGGATCTAGCAACCGTCCTAGGCTTCCGGACACCTGCCTAAATGTCCCGGTGGCGTCCAGCCGTCCGGATGACCGTCCTGCTTTTCAAGGACGTTTGCCTGGACGTCCCCGAGGCGTCCGACCTCCGACTGTCCCGCCGACCGTCCCGGGTCTTGCAACACTTTCCTAGACGTCCCTGAAGCGTCCCCGAGGCGTCCTTCACTCTGACCATCCGTCCCGTTGCAATCGGACGCTCTCCCGGACGTCCCTGAGGCGTCCCACCATCCGCCTGCCCGTCCCGTGGCTGTCGGACGCTCTCACGGACGTCCCTGGGGCGTCCCATCGTCCCATGGCTGTCGGACGCTCTCCCAGACGTTCCGGAGGCGTCCCATGGCTGTCGAACGCTCTACCGGACGTCCTCGAGGCGTCCCATAGCTGTCGGACGCTCTACCGGACGTCCCTGAGGCGTCCCATGGCTGTCGGGCGCTCTATCGGACGTTCCTGAGGCGTCCCATGGCTGTCGGACGCTCTCCCGGTCGTCCTCGAGGCGTCCCATGGCTGTCGGACGCTCTACCGGACGTCCCTGGGGCGTCCCATGGCTGTCGGACGCTCTACCGGACGTCCCTGAGGCGTCCCACGGCTGTCGGACGCTCTCCCAGACGTTCCGGAGGCGTCCCATGGCTGTCGAACGCTCTACCGGACGTCCTCGAGGCGTCCCATGGCTGTCGGACGCTCTACCGGACGTCCCTGAGGCGTCCCATGGCTGTCGGACGCTCTATCGGACGTTCCTGAGGCGTCCCATGGCTGTCGGACGCTCTCCCGGACGTCCCTGAAGCGTCCCAGAGGCGTCCCCTGCAACCATCCGCCCGTCCCATGGCCGTCGGACGCTCTACCGGACGTCCCTGAGGCGTCCCACCATCCGCCTGCCCGCCCCGTGGCTGTCGGACGCTCTCCCGGACGTCCCCGAAGCGTCCCAGAGGCGCCCGTGCGTCTACTCGCCCGTCCCACGGCCGTCGGACGCTCTGCCGGACGTCCCTGAGGCGTCCCATGGCTGTCGGACGCTATCCCGAACGTCCCGAAGGCGTCCCATGGCTTCCTATCGTCCCACAGCTTACTTGAAGCCCCTCGTCAAGTTTTTCTTTTTCTCATTTTGGTAACTTGGTGACGGGGAGGGGGGGGGGGTGTGATAACTGCTGGCACACTTCAGAATAAGTTTGTTTTTTATTAGAGGTCCTACAGTTTTGAAGAAAGGGCTCACCACTACAATATTTGAGTTTTAATTTTTTTAAAGTAGCTCTAGGATTGAATGAACTTTTAAATACATCACAGTAAGTATAGTTTAAAATCACAAAGTAGACCACATTGAAGATAATAAATTCACATTCAGGTTGATTCATGGCATATGATCAATACAATATTTGAGTTTTAACATTTAAAAAGTAACTCTAGGATTTAAAGAACTTTTAAATACCTATCACAGTAAGTAATTTAAAATCACAAAGTAGAGAGACCATCAATCATGGCATATGATCACTTTAATGTCTTGAATGCAGTTAATCAATATCTGTATTATTAGGGACTGGAGCAATAAAGGTCCCGAAAGGCACACAATATTTTACAGCTAAAGAACTAAGCCTGTCAAAAGGCACCCAGGTCAAATTATGACCATTGTTAGGGAAGACTTCTAACATATAAGACAAGAAGGGTGAGGGTTGGAGGTTGTCATATGTTAAACAGACCATCCCAGCTACTCTCTCCCCACCACTAGACAAAACTAAAACTGATTGAATTTGTGCAAAAGCGCCATCCACCAAGTGAATGTTGGAGCTGTTTGTCCTCCCCTCACGGGTGTACTGCACGGATCTACACTCCACATTACTATAGTACGCTCTCTTATAAACCAGGATGTAGCGGTCATCAATAGGTACACCTTGCTCTTGTAACAGTTGTTGCTCTTCTTGACTGATTTCTCTGCGTTCAACTTTTCCAAGGAGATAAACACTACCAACTTTCAGTGCATTATCAAGCCGAGTCCCAAGTAAAATTGACTCCATTGTTAGCTTCACACGTTCAGAGATCCTCAAATCAAAACGAGCAGCTGACACAAATGTACTCAACAGCAGCCGAAACACAACTTGGTCACATGTTCCCCATGACGATGTAACATACTTCTTGAGACGGTGGTTCCATGATTCAAAAAAGAATGTGGAATGGGTGTATAAATTTCCAAGACTCCTAACAACTTCCACAAGATGCATTAAGACATGAACATTGAATTTCATTTCCTCTACTTGAAACATGTCTTCAAATTCAAAAAGGAACACCATGAGGTCTTCTTCTGCTTGAACTAGATCATCTTCTGAGATACTCTGTTTTGACAGCAGAAAGACTGCATTGGCTAGGCGCTTTAAATTGACAATCATATTCTCACCTACGGCCCCCTCCAAGCAACGCAATCCGTAAAGCAAGAAATTTCTAAATTCTGATCATCTATCCAAATGCCAGCAAGCAAAATTTATTTCTGTCTAACCAGAGGGGCAAGTTCATTTAACCTCAAGTACACAGGCTGGGCCTCTGCATTGGATGTCTTTGTGATTCGAAATCCATCATTATTGATACCATATGAGAAATTATTCCTGTTTGATAAGACATTGCCTGGTGCACTCAAACGTAAATATCGCTGTCCATCTAAGATATCTTCTATGTTATCCGGATTCCTCTTCACTCTCTCTTCCCGATAATTAAGGTTTTCATGAAAGCCAGGTGTTTCCAACAAATACCTTAATTGTTTTTTAAGACTCATAGATACAAAAAAAGGAAGTTTCTTCTTAACATTCCAGTGTTCACATGGACACTGAAAACGGTCTGGAAGCAGTTCCAAATTTATAATCTCTCTCTGACAGTATTTACAGTAAAAATACTTTTGAATTCCTGCTCTGTCTTTACCTAACAACTTAAACATAGTATCTTTAGATACTGGAAAGTACTTTCTCCCTAAAATTGTATTGAGCACAATTAACATAACTACTAGACTAGCGTAGGTTAAAGAATGTCGCACAGCAAGGGTAAGAACCATTATCAGCACTTCACGGACTGTGATATTTTGCAACATACGACACTGGATGTTCAGGTGTTGGTGATTTAAACCAAAGTTAGCTCTGTCATTGTTATTGCCGTCATCAGCCTGATTATCTTCGTCATCAAAATCAGGGTCTTCTGGATCTTCATTATCATCAGGGTCGTCTGGATCTTCATCATCATCAGGGTCGTCCGGATCTTCATCATCATCAGGGTCTTCCTCACTAGCTTCAAAGGAACGTTCATGTTGTTCGTCATTCTCATCTAATGGATCTTCTGCTTCACCTGCTCCATTTCCATCCTGATCCTCATCAAGCAAAGCAGCCTGCCATTCACTATCAAATAATGAATCATGGGAATCACTGTTCATGTCCTGCAAGCATAAAACAATACACCAAGTTAATCCTTCATTCAGTTGTATACTTCAGAAAGTAATTCACACAATCTTGTTCACTCAAAAGAAAACAACAGAATATGTTTAACTGATCATTGGTAGATAGGTTTTAAGAGCAATCACCTCATCGAAGTTGATGATCTTTTCATTCGAAATAAATATATCATTGCGTCCTTCCAGTGATGGGGAAGGAGACGGTTCCTATAAAAAAGTATTGAAATGAGAAGAAAAGAAGGTGCCCTTACAATGTGTTGTACTTAGGTGGCTTTCTGGATAGATCTCTAAAGAACAAGGTGGAATTATTGTTAGGACTCAAGTTACTCAGAATCAAAACCATAACTTGGCAACTACAGCCAATCAAAGTTGTGTTATACGATTGTCAGTTGGGCTCTAATTGATAATTTACAAAGTATTACACTTTCCCTTTCAGAATAGCTTGAACCCTATCAATAATTGCATCATGTCTCAGAGAATTCTGTTTAGAATGCAAGCCAAGTAGAAGACATTGTGGGCACCCG